TTATTATTATTATTACCAACTTTAAAAACATATAATTAATACTTACTGTTATAAATCACATCTATCAACATTATTCCCGCAAATTAATCACATTATGACGTCACAAAATACAACGAGCCTATGTGTAAATCTAAAAACAATAATTAATTACTTTCTGCTCATGGAATACGGAAATACTAATTTCTCAATGTCTTCCTCCTGGTCTTATTTACTCCCCTTATTTATCGTATTTCTGAGATTAATTCCTCTTTCCTTCCTTCCTTTATTTATCAGTCTCCTTGCATTTACTCTCTGTTCATCTCTCACTCTCAATCTTAATCGCGTTTTTTTTTGTCGTCTTATTCTGTTCCGGATTTCTGGTGGCCTTATTACGTATTCCAAGTGTGTTTTCTGGTTCCAGGGGTAAGGGAGGGTAAGGGGGAGAGAGGGGGAGGAAGGGGGTGAGGGGGAAGGAGGGAGGTGAGGAGAGGGTTAGGTGGTTGGTCAGTCTGAGTGAGATTTGAAATTTACAGAGCTGTCTTAATTCTAACCCCTTGAGTACGAGGACTTAACCCCTTGAGTACGATGACTTAGCCTCTCGAGTACGATAACTTTATCCCTTGAGTACGATGATTTAACCCCTTGAGTACGATGATTTAACCCCTTGAGTACGATGATTTAACCCCTTGAGTACGATGTCATCATACTAAAGCCTATAGGCCATCGTCTTCAAAAGGTATTAAGACATCGTACTAAAGGGATTGAGTCCTTGTACTCAATGGGATTAAGATATCTCAACTAAAGAGCCAATTAATTATGCTCAGGGGGATGGCATAGTACTCAAGGAGATCCCAGAACCACTGAACCGTACTAGTAATGACCCCAGAACCACTGAAGCGTACTAGTAATGACCCAGAACCACTGAACCGTACTAGTAATGACCCAGAACCACTGAACCGTACAAGTAATGACCCCAGAACCACTGAACCGTACTAGTAATGACCCAGAACCACTGAACCGTACTAGTAATGACCCAGAACCACTGAACCGTACTAGTAATGACCCCAGAACCACTGAACCGTACTAATGTGTTAGAACCACTGAACCGTACTAGTAATGACCCAGAACCACTGAACCGTACTAATGTGACCCCAGAACCACTGACCCTAGTAATGACCCAGAACCACTGAACGTACTATTAATGACTAGAACCACTGAACCGTACTAGTAATGACCCAAGAACCACTGAACCGTTCTGATAATGACCCAGAACCACTGAACCGTACTATTGGCCCCAAACCACTGAACCGTACTGACCCGTAGTGACCCCAGAACCACTGAACCGTACTAGTAATGACCCCAGAACCACTGAACCGTACTAGTAATGACCCCAGAACCACTGAAGCGTACTAGTAATGACCCAGAACCACTGAACCGTACTAGTAATGACCCAGAACCACTGAACCGTACAAGTAATGACCCCAGAACCACTGAACCGTACTAGTAATGACCCAGAACCACTGAACCGTACTAGTAATGACCCAGAACCACTGAACCGTACTAGTAATGACCCCAGAACCACTGAACCGTACTTGGTCGTATCGCTTCTGTTTACATTTGACAAGACGTTGAGCCTCCCCAGGGATGCCAGCGAGGTGGATGGGAGGGGACGGACGAGGGGAAAGGAGAAAGGGAGAGAAGGAAGGAAGAGAGAGAAAGAAATAGTGAGTTATGGGAGAGAGAGAGAGAGACAGAAAGAGAGACAGGGAAAATAGTGCATGAAAAGTGCCTGAAGTAGCTAGCAGGAAGAGGGAGAGGAAGAAGAAGAGGAAGAGGGAGATGAAGGGGGAGAGGAAGAGAAAGAGGGAGAAGGAGAGGTAAAGGGAGGGAGGAGATGGAGAAATCAGGGAGGGAGGGGCAGGTAGGGTGGGAAAGGGAGGAGGAGAAGGAGGAGGAGAAGATAGGGGAGGGTGGGGAAGGAAGGAAGGGGCGGAAATATCAGAAGGAAAGAGGGAGGAGAGTAGGGATGAAGGAAGAGAGAGAGAATGTATGGAGAAGGGAGGGAGAGAGAAGCATAGGGAAATGGGATAGAGGATAGGGAAGAAAGTAAGAGAGGACAGGGTAGACAGGATAAGGAAGAATACACTCAGACAACAAACACTAATCAACCATCTACATACACACAGACAGATATGGACGAGAGATAAATAACCCCTTGCCATAACGTGGAATAATAACGGTGGAAATAACGAAATGACACAGTATCCATAACGACAGTGTGACACAAAAAAAAAAACATTGGATAGCTCTCCCTCTCTAAATATAGATATTAAAGGAGGTGTATTGGTACCCCACGAAACTGACTTACTTGGTGAAAATATGATGTGCTATGTTGGAAATGTTGTAAATATGATGTGCTATGTTGGAAATGTTGAAAATATGATGTGCTATGTTGGAAATGTTGAAAATATGATGTACTATGTTGGAAATGTTGTAAATATGATGTGCTATGTTGGAAATGTTGTAAATATAATGTGCTATGTTGGAAATGTTGTAAATATGATGTGCTATGTTGGAAATGTTGTAAATATGATGAACTGTGTTGAAATTCTCTTGTCATGGTTAATAAAACTTACTTGTTGCAAGGATAAACCACCAAGTTGAAGTGTTTTGCAAGTTGACTTAGTTATTGAGCATATTGCAAAGTCGGTAGATAAAGTAATTTACACTTACAATACTTACATCAGTTCAATAAAGTGATTTTGATTACCACACTTATAATAGTTTCACAGTACATATACGTACCGTAAAATAACTTAAACTTCCTCACTTACAAAAATTACGATAAGTACTCAACATCATGTACTTATTTACTACACTTATAAAACTACAGTTACAGTACTTACAAAAGTTATATTGGTTATTGCGTTCATTTATTATAAGTACGGTAGTTTAAACTTATAATTTTGTGTCATATTATCATCTGTTCACTCACACGATGGGGTCTGTGTGAGTGAGTGAGTGAGTGAGTGAGTGAGTCAGTGAGTCAGTCAGTCAGTGAGTCAGTTCTTAATATACTACTGAACACACCACTCTCCATTGGACATCAGTAACTACAGGCATTATATACAAAGTCAACGAAAAACAATGACCTGATTTCAGATGGTCATATACCGTGACCCTGGATGACCCCGGGAGAGAATACTGATGCCAATACAGCACAGAAGCTCGTGGAATATATATAGAGAGAGATTATAGTATATATACTCTCTCGTGGCAGTGTGTATAAATTTGCATATTCAGTGATTGGAAACCTGCCTTGTGTTCTGGTGTATGAGATAGGTGATTAATAATAATAATAATAATAATAATAATAATAATAATAGTAATAATAATAATAATAATAAATTACATCTAGCTTCCCTCCATCAATCAGAAAACGACACGACATCACTCAAATGTAAACAAAGACGATCAAGCTTGCCAACATCCATCAAATATACTACACTATAATACTTTACATAATAATAAAAAATAATCACCAAGTATCTTAAAAAAAATCACTAATAAACACTAATAAAAAATACAGTACAGGTATTGTTGACATGTCGAGTACTATCAGATAATAGGTATTGTCTGAAGTGGTAACCGTGATGGGAGTCAAAGTGTTTATAGTTAAAAGTTGTGGTGTTTATAACATGGGAGTTGGGGGACAATGAAGGGGGTTATGGGCACCCAAGAGTGAATTAGAACCCTTGAACTGCGTGTCACGGTGTTTATAGTGTCGTCTCTGTGTGTGTTGTTATTGTTGACGGTAATGGGGTGGCTCTCTCTCTCTCTCTCTCTCTCTCTCTCTCTGTGCATGTGTGCGTGTACAGTGTGAATCTAGAGGTGCTTATACTAAGTGTATGTAAACGTATGCATATGTATTTGTGTGTGTGTGTGTGTGTTAGTGCATGTTTATATATGTGTGTACAATATACGCCTGTGTGTATTTGCATATGAGTGCATCTTTGTATATATGTGAAAATACATGTGTGTGTGTGTGTGTGTGTGTAAGCATGAGTATATATGTGTGGTTACATTTACGTGTATACTGCATGTATATTACGTGGTACAAACAAGCTTGTATTATATATATATATTTAACAACAAGTGGACAGGAAAATTTTATAAGCGAGAAGAATAAACACGTTTGGTGATATGTGCTTACTGCTGTCATCTCTCTTTCTATATTTTCTCTTTCCTATTTTACTAAGTTTTATTTATCTTTTAGTTTTAATATTCTTGTATGTTATATTTTTACAGTATTTTTTTTTTATTTTGGTGCATTTTTCTATTTTTTGTATTTTTGGGGGTATCTTTCTGTAATTTTCTTCTTTTTATTATTATTATTATTATTATTATTATTATTATTATTATTATTCACGTAAAAATTGCTACTGACAATAAAACACGAAGTTAAATAAACACAGTCATAAAGGCTTCCTATAAAAACATCACATCTGGCAAAGGAGCCAATCAAATATCCTTAATTAAGAACTTGGTGATGTGATTGGCCGAGGACGGAGCGTAAACAGGTTGATGAGGTCTTCCGGGGATGTGTAATAGTTGGGGTGGATGGGGTGGAGGGGGTTGATGTGGAGGAATTGGAGGGGTTGTTTGTCAAGGCTGAACTGAAAACACACAAAAAATAGTCTCTCTCTCTCTCTCTCTTCTTTCATATCTTAATCGAAAGTAAAAGTCACAAAGTAATTTTTTTATGTTTATTTTACTTTTTTGTCATAATAATAATAATAATAATAATAATAATAATAATAATAATAATAATAATAATAATAATAATAATAATAATAATAATAATAATAATAATAATAATAATAATAATAATAATAATCATCATCATCATCACCATCATCATCATCATCATCATCATCATCATCATTATCATCATCATCATCATCATCATCATCTCAAGTCATCATCATATTTTTAATTTACCTCCATTATTTTATTCCCAGGTTTAGAAGATGGGAAGAACGGCTCTTGTGTGGGACTGTGTTATTTCTACTGATGGTGTGTTGCAGCCTGGTTACCTACATCATATTAGGTGAGTCATTAACCATTATCTAACTATTAGGTACCATTATCTAGCCATTAACTAGCCATTAGATACTACAGAAGAGAGGATAATGTCATTTACTATTAGTAATTCATCAAAGTACCATGCACGTATTACATTAACCATTATCTAACCATTAACCATTATCTAGCCATTGGGTACAATAATAGGGGTTATTACCATTAACCATTAGTAACTCTGAGTACGATCCTCATATGCTGTTTGTGTTCTTGATTGATTCTGTGTCATTAGTTAACATTATCTAAGGGGAATCTAGTACCCATTGTCTCCTAACCATTACTTTTCTTGCTAATGGTTATCTAGTTCCAATACAATAAACCATTATTATTTAAAACACTGATATTTCTAATGTACTGTTATGCCATTGAACCTAGAAACCATTACCCATTATTTCATACTCATTAGTCACCAGTGTCCGCGAGTATAAGTGCCTCATTACTAAACGACATCTGATACTAATGGGTCGTTTGAATATAATTACAAACTGACATTAATAGCCATTTAAACATTACGTGTGGTTCTGATGCCTAACTCCATTACACCATTAGCTTTAAGTCTTCTAATGGGTGGGGGTGTTATAATAATGTCCATTCATCTTTAGGAAGACCATTTACCCATTAGCCTCTTAAGTGTGTTTGAATAGGTCTCTAATTACCTAATATCCTACCCATTAACCCATTAACTTTGCAGGTAATTAATGGTCATTTTCCCCATTAGTCTGTATTAAATGTCCTTTTTATTATATTTTACGAGAATGGGGAGAGAGAGAGAGAGAGAGAGAGAGAGAAGGAAGGGAGGGGAGTTAGAGAGAGGGAAAGAGTAAGTGAGAGAATAGGAAGGAAATGGAAGGACAGTACAGGAGAGAAAGAAGGAAGGAAGAAAGAAAGACACAGAGAGAGAATGGGAAAAAAACGAAAGAAGGAAAGAGAACACAGAGGAGGAGGAATAAGAACCAAGAAAGAGAAGGAAAGAGAGAAGAAGAGAGCGATTAGATTAGGGGAATAGGAGGAGTGAGAAGAAGAGATTGGAAGATAAGGGTGAAAGGTAGAGAAAATAAAGGAAGGGGAAGAAGGGTGAGGGGAGAAAGAAGTGGGGAGAGAGATATGACAGGATTAATAGCGAGAGGAGGATAATAGATGAGAAGGAAGGAATAAGAATGATAATAATAATAATAATAACAATAATAATGATAATAATAATAATAACAATAATAATAATAATAATAATACTAGGATCGAAAAAAAAATAAATAAAATATAGATTAGAAAATTAAAGAAAGAGAGAGATAGTGTGTGTGTGTGTGTGTGTGTGTGTGTGTGTGTGTGAGTGTGAGTGTGTGTGTGTGTGTGTGTGTGAGGTGTGTGTGTGTGTGTGTGTGTGTGTGTGTGTGTGTGTGTGTGTGTGTGTGTGTGTGTGTGTGTGTGTGTGTGTGTGTACAAACCGAGGTATGTGATAATTCCCTTAACAAGCAACAACCCTCAGTGGAGTGACAATCACACAGTATAAATTTATTCCCAACAAAGCCTGGCTCTCGTTTGGCTCTACCCGCTCCAGTGAATCCCTAAAGATAGCTCTCTCTCTCTCTCTCTCTCTCTCTCTCTCTTATAATATAATCAGTTATATTATTATCCCGAAACTAGAATTGCAATAAAAGGGAAAAAACTGAATCGCAAAATATCCGCCAAAAATATATACAGTATATATATTTTACTTACTTTTAATAATGTACCTCGAAATAATACACTCACTGATGCTGGAGAAATAATCACGTGCGTAATTACTGACAATGGAATCGCAACAACAACAAAAAGTACAAACCTGAATCGCAGCTGTCATTGTATACATTTTTACGCGATTCAAATTCATACATTTTATTATAAATTTCTTCATAATATTATTTTTAATGATAACAGAAATATCATATATATATATACATTTATATATATATATATATATATATATATATATATATATATATATATATATATATATATATATATATATATATATATATATATATATAGTAATATTTGTTTATTTGAATGCAATGATTGATAAAAAAATAATAATATTTAGATTAGTGTTGTGGTTTAAATTCATCCTGGCAACTGAGGTATCATGTAGTTCTTTTAAAACTGGGTAAACAAACCAGCCAAACCCAGTGTTATGTTCCAATAATTTTACGTAACTTGGAATATATATATTGTTATCTCAGCCTTTGTAGAGACATTTTATTTGAGTTATATATATTTTTTATTTTATTAATATTTTACAGTTCGTCAAAATAATGGATGATGCCGGAAATGTTCAATATAAACGTAAAAAAATATGAGAAAAATGTAGAAATACATTTTATATAGACTTCACATTTTTTGTTTAATATTCGTCAAAATAATACACGTATATACAGATGTCAGAAATGTAATAAGAAAAAGTATAAATAAAAACAGAAATACAAAAAAGCGAAAAACAAAATAGAATCACCCATTATTGGAACAAGCTTAGGACCAATGAGTTTGATGATATTTCGTGTGTGATTATCGCCAGATAGATATACGCTATAGATATACGTGTACACATGTTTATATTTACAGGTGTGCAGCCTATACAGATTCGTATTAGTAAGTTTTTATGGTGTTATACTTATAAATACGCATATATACGCACGCACACTCCTTTATGTCATGTACTTACAGTATATAATGAATACAATCGTATACATACATATATGCACATAAATGTACCGGTATACACATACACACACACACACACACAATCCGTAACGCAATAAAACCAGATTAAGTCAGAGGAAATAAAACGACTCGTCACCAAAATAGACAAACAGTGCTGGATGTGAACCATTTATCTTCCCCGCTGATGGAAGAGGCGGAGCGGTACATACGTCAAGCCCTATAACAAAATTAATATACATCGTCTACTTAACTACCACTTACAGATAAAAATAAAACACACCAAATAAATCATAATCTTTAAAAAAAATCGTTAAATATCAAAAGGTTTACCGTGAATATAGCCTCCAAAAAATGGTTGATATATTTCTGCGTTGGTGATATGTTTGGTGTGTGGACTATGGAGTGGAGTAGCGAGGTAGTGAGAGTATTCAATATATATATCCAACATAGTTCTCTACATCAAATCATTATTCAAAAGAGTTCGCCGCCATTCTGTGAGGATGGTGATAGCGTGAATTCTGGCTTTGATTGGAACAAAAATTTAGTCGAAATATTTTTTTTATATAGAATTTCTTTATAAAGGTTTATGGTGATTTGTTTCTTTGAACTGTATTTAATTCTCCGGGATAGTGGCAGTGTGTGTGTGTGTGTGTGTGTGTGTGTGTAGTAATCCTTATATCATTTGGTACTACTCTCTCTCTCTCTCTCTCTCTCTCTCTCTCTCTCTCTCTCTCTCTCTTACCGCCAGCCGTCAATAGGAGTTAGTGTCTCGATAATTAAGGATTAAACGCTTGATAAGAGTTGAATAAGTAGTCTCTAAGGCCCTCCCTCCCTCCCTCCCTCCCTCCCTACCCTCCTCCTTCCCTCCCCCCCTTTCCTCCCTCCCTTCCCCTCCTCCCTTCCTTCCATTCCCCCAGTCGCTTCTCTATTAACTTCCAGTCCCTTAACTACTTCCGGTCCCTAATTACAGCCAGTCCTTAACTACTTCCGGTCCCCCAACACCTCCCTTCTTAACGCCCCCCCCTCTCGTCACTAACCCCCTAACTCCACCTAGTAACTTCATGCCAACGACCACCCCCCTCTCCCTCCCCCTCCCCTCCCCTCCCTCTCTCTCGCCAACTTAGCCAAAACAACTTCGCCAACCTGCCTAAGTTGGACCACAATGCCTTCTGCTGATGGCTACCCCAACTCAATTCTGCTCAAGTTAATACCTGGTGGGAGAGGGGGAGGGGGAGGGGGGGAAGGGGGAGGGAGAAGGGGGAGGGGGGTAATGGAGTTGAGTTTGTTCTGGTAACACTGCTCAACTGTTAAAGGTAGTCTAGTGTGGGAACATTTTCTGCCACTTCAATTTTTTTGCGGTGATATTGTTTGATTTTGAGGGATGGCTTCTAGTCTGTGTGGTAATACTGTAAAGGTAGGGTGGGGTAGGGTAGGGAGATGGCGCTGGAGTGGGAGAAGGGAAGGGCTGGGTAGAGATAGGAGTAGCTGGAGTGGGGTGGCGCTGGGTAGGGTAGCGCTGGGTAGGGAGTGGGGTAGGGTAGGGTTTGCCAGTCTTCACACACACACACACACACACACACACACACACACACACACACACACACACACATATTAATGAGGCTGGGCGCTAGACAGACACTTCATCTGATGCCTCATTCTTTAGTGGGGAGGAGGAAGAGGAGAGGATGAGGAAGAGGAGGAAGGGAGAGGAGAGGGAGAGGGAGGAAGGGAGAGGAGGGAGGAGGGAAGAATGGGAAGGGAGAGGGGGGAGGAGGAAGGCAGAGGGAGGAGGAAGGGAGAGGGAGGTGGAAGGGCGAACTCTTAGTGGGTATTTTATCTTTAGTGAAGTGTAGCGAGTGTAGAGTAGAAGAAGGAGTAGGAGAGGAGGAGCAGAAAGAAGAGGAGAAAACGAGGAAGTGGAAGAGAAAGAGGGAGGAGGAGGAGGGAAGATATAGAAGAGAAATAAGCAGGATGAATAAAATGAAATAAGAGAGAGAGAGAGAAAGAGAGGGAAGAAAAGAGGTAGTACCAGACAAGAAGTAATTAATACAGTCCCAGAAGACAGGGACCATCTGACGCAGTAGTAGTAGTAGTAGTAGTAGTAGTAGTAGTAGTAAGATGTAGGAAGAAGGTTAGTTTAGAAAGTAGGTCATAACGATGCGTTATCCTCACCTCCATCACCAAACCTTCCTCCTCCTCCTCTTCTTCATCTTCTTCTTCCTTCTCCTCCTCCCTTCTCTTACTTCCCGTTCTCCTCTTCCTTATAACTTATTT